GCAATATCCTGGAAAGTACCTCAAAACAAAACTTCAGCCCCAATGCCAAAAGCGCGGGCATTGGCGTGAAGAAGTTATGACAGATTAGATTTCTCACCAGAAACTTTCCAGCTCGCATTTCGTTTCCGGACGGGAGAGTAGCTGCGCGGAAACAAACAGCAGCATCCGTTCCAAGAGACCCGTCCACCGCGTGCGGGAGTCCCGGCGCTCCCAACACCGTCCACATGCCGCGCTGCAGCGCACGACAGTCCGCAGCGTCAGCTCACCTTGCCCTCCTGCGAGACGAAGTGGTACTTCTGATTGCTCTCCTGCAGGAAGAAGACGACGTCGGACATGACGATCACCTGCACGAGCAGCGGCCGGCCGCGCGCCTGCATCAGCGCCGCGCTTCCCTCGAACCTGCCGACAGGGCCGCGACACCGGTCACGCCGCGGTCCCCCAGCAGCCTCCCACCCGACAGGGCCGCGACACCGGTCACGCCGCGGTCCCACAGCAGCCGCCCACCCGGCAGGGCCGCGACACCGGTCACGCCGCGGTCCCCCAGCAGCCGCCCACCCGACAGGGCCGCGACACCGGTCACGCCGCGGTCCCTCAGCAGCCGCCCACACATCTCCGCACGGGACCTCGCCGCGGAGCTCGGCCTTCCAGTCCGGCAGCGGGGATCAGACGGCGGCGGCCGGACGCCACATGTCATGGGGACATGTCCACAGACAGCGGCGGCCGGACGCCACGTGTCATGGGGACATGTACAAAGACAGCGGCGGCCGGACCGCCACATGTCATGGGAGACATGTCCATAGACAGCGGCGGCCGGACGCCACGTGTCATGGGGACATGTCCATAGACAGCGGCAGCCGGACGCCATATGTCATGAGGATATGTCCATAGGTGAGGAGATGAGACGGGGAGGGGGAGGAAGCAGCTGCCCACTGTAGCCCACTGCATGCTTCAAATTTGAAAAAAACAGACCATGTTCCTGCGGTCTACACAAGATTGACCAGGTGGCCTAATCACTGCCGCCTCCATCCCCCCCTTCCCACACACATACACACACACACACACACACACACACACAACACAAAGTGCCGTCTATATGCCGACATGGCAAAGGTGAGACCAGGGCACGTGTGTGTAAAACCACAAGCCTTGTGTTATGGCGCAGAGTAAGGGGATGGTGAAAATGTTATCGTGTCTCCACAGACGACCCAGACGTGTCATAAAACACAGCATGAACAACAACGCTGGCGACTTGTAACGACGCCGCACTGTGGCAAGGGTGGATCAGCGTGTACCAGCGTGTGTCGCTAAAAGGCCGGGTTCAGAGGGATTCACGCCAATAGCATGCGGATGTCAGGCATCCACACGAATCTGAGCGTACAGTACGCACCACTCTCACACATGTGTGAGGGTCCGTTTAAACTGAGAGTGGATTCATGTTTCGTGGCGACATGCGGCTAAAAAGCCATGAAGCTTCCACGCTTCTCCCAGTCTATACTCCTCAAATTGGATGGGCTTCCCAGCCTTACCCAAACGCTATCCCAATCTGCAAAAGTGGTAGTTTCATATGCACCATAAGTCGACAACCGACCACCGTAACCGTCGCCACTATAGGTGATTCAAAACATTCATTTCTCGGAACGCCATGCAGACGCCATATCCGGCCAATTTCCATTTTCATGGCGAATGCATGAATAAATAAACCGCACTGATTTGATTTAACCTAGGGCGAGACGACATTACATCCACTAAGCCAATACTTTGCTAAAATACAATGGACGGATGAAGACATTACTCAGTTTACAAATTCTGCTCCGTTCATTTTATCATTTGGCTGTGAAAGGGATCTACAAATTGGGGCACAGCTAGTCTCGAATCGACCAGACTCGTACCTGAACGACAGCCACTTACAGCAGTTACAGCAACAGGGTCAACCGAACAGGCATGTACTCCAATCAGGGGGGTGGGGGCTCGCCCAAGACAGCCGACGCAGCAGAGCCCCCCCCCCCCCCCCTCCCCCTTCTGCCCTTCCCTACTGCGCGCGCCGCGGCCGGCACGCGTCCCCGCGCCGGCAGCAGCAGGCGTCACCACGCCCCCCGCCCAGCCGAGGCGCCCAGTACCAACACGACATACACCGCCCGACCCCCGGGTCGATGGCCATTATCACCCCGGCGTCCGGAGCGTAACGGTCCCGTAATGGCCGGCTGACGACGCCCGTCGCACAGACCGCGCCGCGACTGCCACTTCGCCCAGACCGCACGGCGCTCGACCTGCCGGCGAGATTTGGCCCGCCGTCTCGGCGGCCGCAGCCGACTCGCTCGAGCGTGACGGGACGATAGCTTGAAACGATTGCACGAGCTTAACCATTCCGTTTTCGATATTTCTGCGAGGGCGGGACGCCCGGCAACTACGACTGCGACCATCATTGCTACCGCTCTAGCAAGCTCCTCCTTGGACCAGCCCCGCAGCAACGTAATACGTTCATAAAAGGCTCCAGCCAGTCGACAAGAGGGCGGCGTCGCCTCGGAGCGAGCGGACGCCCCCGGCACCGCCAGACGCCGGCTGGGGACAGATCGCTCCTGTCCGGCCCTGCCGCCTGCGAGAAAGGTCCCGGCGGTCCCCCAGCGGGGCCGCCACGCGTAACACACCGCCCCTGCTGCTGCCAGACGGTGGACGGCGGCGGCAGGCGGCGGCGCCGACTGGCGCAACAGGTGTCCGCCGGGAGCCGGGGGCCGGGTCGCGGCCGGCCGGACGCAGTGTGTCGCCCGCCGCGGTCCGGGCGAGAGAACGGCCGGCACTGCCGCCAGCCGCCGCTCCCGCCGCCCCGAGCGGCACGGCTGCCGGGACGTCCGCCGCCTGCGGCCGGCGGCCGGCGGCGCTCGGAGGTCAGCTGACCACGGCCGGGGAAACACGGCCAGGGCGCGCCCCCCGGCGCCGGTCCGGTCCGAGCCCGGCGTCCGGCCGGCGGACACGCCGCACCCCCAGATGGACGTCGGACGAGCCTCTCTCGACAGCGGCTCGTCGACGGCCGGCCGCGTCGGCGTCAGCACGAGCTGCAGCGAGGGGGACCGCCGCCCCATCCAGCCATCTCACGGGATTCGGGATTGTTTGGGAAAACTCGCACGTCAGATTAAGACTGCGCCGCTCTCGCCGACGGCGACGCGTGCCAAATGCAACGGAAAACGATAACAGGGTTAGCACTCGCCGAATTCTGAACCCTACGGAATTCTGGCCGCACTTGGGAGCGTGTAGACAGACGAAAATACAGGGACGGGCGGCAACATCTGGGGCACCAAAAGCAAGGGAGGAAAATACTCAGCGTTCACATGGCATTTCCGGAGAAAACGCGCATCGCGACGTCGGTTTGAAAAAAATCATAACAACCCGATAGATGTCAATGAAAACGACCAAAAGAGCAAAAGGGATAGAAACAACAAAACGAATGTTCCAAAGTACCGTGCAATAGGCCAAGCGCTTAACACTGACCACGAAGGGTGCCCTTCTGCGCTTACATGAGCACTCGATTGCCACTGAGCAGATCCGACTTCTTGAATTTCTTGCCCTTGTAGAAGGCGGTGGACTTAGCGTCGATCTTGTTGTATATCTCCAGCAGGCGTGCCTCCTTCTGCTTCTCGGCCACCTGAGCATTGACGTCCACTAGGATCTCCTGCGGACGGGGACGCGTCGAATCAGCGAGCGCTGACGGGACTGTAAGCGCGGTGACCGGGACACGCAATATGTCCTGAGCACGTGCTTCCAAACAGGCTACAGTCTTTGTAATTACACCGCCGGGGTGGTTCTAACTGATCACAAAAAGCCATTGACGCGGCGGCGCGCGTCCGTCTTCGGCACCGGGGAGGCCGGCTCGCGGGCCGTGGGCCTGCTGGCGTCCACCGCGGCAGACAGCTGCCGGAACCACGTGCCCCCCGGACGCCGCCCGCGGTGCTGCTGGCCCCGCCAGACCCGAGCTGCCGCCGGCCGGCCGCCGGGGGCCGCCGGTCGATGTCCGGACCCCAGCGGGCCCCCGACTGTCGCCGCCGCCGGTTCCGAGACAGGCCGCCGGGGGCGGACCGACCGACCGCGCGGCCCGTCCGCTGACAGCCGCCGGCCGGACGCCTCGCGCCGCGGGGGGGGGGAGCAGCCCGGCTAGACAGCCGCTGGTGGGGCGGGGGGGGGGGGCTGGAGGAAAGCGTCCCCGACAGATCTCGGCTGCCCGTGACGGGCCGTCCAAGCGTCGTAGCGGCGCGCACAATGGACGGGCAGGCACGGAATACTGATGACCGCTGATTAAATAATGGCTCGGCGCGCACCATCGGCTGCCGGCTATTCGCCGTCGGCCGATGACGGCCGTCCTGTAATGGACAGCGGCGGCGCGCCCCAATTGGACCATAACGCACCGCGAACGAGGCGCCCCGGTGAAATGTGGTAGGAGGGCATGCGGCAGCGCATCCCGGCGTGAAATTCACGCCCGGGCTGGGGCGCGACAGATGTCAGTGACAACGGCACATAAAGCCGGCAGCCGCGCGGACCCGACCACCCCGCGGTCCCGTCGTCCATCACGCACTCCAACAGTCTGAGGGCGTAGACGCTTCCTCCAACTCCGAGACACTGACCAGGCCGGCAAACCCGTTCACCATGAAATCTTGTGCACTCAGCGGTGGGGGCTGGGCCACGCTGGTGACCTCACCTTGACCAGCTGCGATACCTGACCTCGCCAGGCTGGTGCCCGGCCCTGACGGTCCAAGGGGCCTCGCTCCGGCCGCTCGCGACTCACCTTGACCAGCTGCGAGGCCTCGCCAGGCTGGTTCCCGGCCCTGACGGTCCAAGAGGCCTCGCTCCGGCCGCTCGCGACTCACCTTGACCAGCTGCGAGGCCTCGCCAGGCTGGTTCCCGGCCCTGACGGTCCAAGAGGCCTCGCTCCGGCCGCTCGCGACTCACCTTGACCAGCTGCGAGGCCTCGCCAGGCTGGTGCCCGGCCCTGACGGTCCAAGGGGCCTCGCTCCGACCGCTCGCGACTCACCTTGACCAGCTGCGAGGCCTCGCCAGGCTGGTGCCCGGCCCTGGCGGTCCAAGGGGCCTCGCTCCGGCCGCTCGCGACTCACCTTGACCAGCTGCGAGGCCTCGCCAGGTTGGTGCCCGGCCCTGACGGTTCAAGGGGCCTCGCTCCGACCGCTCGCGGCTCACCTTGACCAGCTGCAGGGCCTTGGTCAGGTTGGTGATCTCCTGCTCCTGGTCGCGGCTGGTCTTGATGAGCGGCTCGATCAGCAGCGGGTACTTGGTGACTCGGTGGGTCACGAACAGGATACACTCGGGCACGCCCTTCTTCTTCAGCAGCGGGTGCAGGCTGCAGCGCCGGATGAACTCCTGGAACCTGGCCAAGCGCAGCCCGCCGCGTCAGCCACACTGCCACACAGTGCCACATCACGCACACAGGGGGGACGCCGCCACGCACCGCGACGAAGCCGCCGATGCACCAGTCAGCCGCGAAAGGCTGTGCCAACGCGCAGCGAACCCACACGCATAAAGGGCGATGACCCACCAGTCACCGTGAATTGTACAGTACACTCCCAGGCCTCACAGGCCTCCCTCCCACTGGGACTGTTGACCACGCCGATGTGCCGCTGAAGCGGTCAGACCGGCCGTCCCGCCCCCCCCCCCCCCCCCCCCCCCGCGGCACCTCACGCCAAAACACCGCACCCCTCCCCCGGAAGCCGCTCACCCACCTACGGTCCGCCTTCAGCATGTCCTTGTAGAGCGCCACGCTCTCGGTGTGCTTGGAGCAGAACTCGCCGTAGCAGTCGCGCATCTGATCGCCGATCTCGCCGCCGAAGTCCTGCAGCAGGAGGTCGCCGAACTGCTCGACGTACAGGCTGCGGCGCTGCCGCTCGCGCAGGTGGCGCAGGAACGTCATGTGCACCTGGATGAGGTCGTCGAGCCGCGGGAAGAGGCGGCCGATCATCTCCGGCGTGTAGCCCAGCTCCTTCCGCATGCCCTCGGCGAACACCTGCGCCACGGCCGATGGGTTACGCGGCTGGCCGGCGCGGGGGGGGGGGGTGCGTCACGGCGCGTCACGTCACGTCACGTCATGTGCCGCCGAGGCGCTGCCGTCCCGCCGGCCGCCTCGACCGCCCAGCGACAGGACAGCGCGGCGGCCAGCTCGGCACGTCAGTGCGCCGCACTGCGTCCCTCGCGGGGCCGGTGCTGGGCCTACTGCGGCCAGTGTGGAGGTTCCCGAGGGAGTCACAACACCGCCGCCTCCGCCGCCCGTGGGGCCCAGCCGTTGGCGCCGGCCGGCCGCGGCGCCACCGGTCGGGCCCGGCCGGCGGTGGCTGTGTCCGCAGGCCGCCGACGCCGGCTATGCAGATGCCCCCGGCAACGCTAGACGTGGTGGTGATCGATGACTTCCGCCCCCCCCCCCCCCCCTCCCCCATCCACCCGCGGAGCTTCGCTGCAGCAGAACAGACGCCATGCCCTTCTCGCGTTTCACCCCAATGTATCCAGTCTATCCCAAGGCGCCCTCACGCGTCACCACGATATATCCAATTTACCTACTGGCCAATCTGCTCTGAGCTTTGCAGCCTATCGTTAGATGCGATATTCCGTCCTTCCGCGAATGTGGTTGTTTGCGAACGACAGATTACGAGAGAGGTCACGATGTTGACATTCAATTCAGACCTTGTCAACAAGATCAAATAGGTAGGTAATACGATAGTTAACAGGTGCCAAAGAGAATTCGGAAACAGGACATGAGACAGGCTGCAAAGTACCAGATACCCCAATCGTCCCACCAATCCGGCATAATCAAAGGGCACTCACTCTCGCCCCTGGGTCCAGCGGGCACTCACCCATTGCATGACTTTGAGCGTGACGCAGTGGTGCTTCTCGGTCATCACGAACTCGTACACGTGCTCCTGGCGCTTGATCTGCTTCTCGGTGAGCCCTTTCAGGATCTGCAACGGGGCGGCGGTCAGCACGGCGGCCGCCGCTCGTCAGCCCGCTGACGTGCTCAGAATGAGCCCGCGTCGAGCAGAACACTCAGTTAGCTCGTGTCTGTCCACCAATGGGTTTACTGGACAGGGCTAGCAGGAGTGGTAGACAGGGGGGAACAAGTGTGGCGCGTGGCGCAATGGCTTTGAGTCGAATCAGAATGGACACGGAGGACGGCCTAGACAACGGCGAACTTCTTGTGCCCGATGTAGTAACATCACCACTAGCATACTCACAGATTTAAGTCAGATAGCTATACTTTTAGCACTTGAACACCCCCAGATTCACTAGAACACGTGAACACGAGTGTTGTTTTCTGGATTCCCAGTTATCATAACCTCAGCGCTCCGAGACCACCGGTACTCCACGGTCCCCGTCGGGTCTCCTCACTCCCCACCAGGACTCCGCATTTTCCGACGGGATTCCGCGGTCCCGCCGGTACTCCACGGTCCCCGCCGGGATTCTCGTCCCCGCCGGGATTCCGTGGTCCCCGCCGGGACTCCGCGGTCCCCGTCGGGACTCCGCACTCCCCGCCAGGACTCCACGGTCCCCGTCGGGTCTCCTCAGTCACAGGCGGGATTCCGCGGCAGCCGCCGGTACTCCACGGTCCCCGTCAGTACTCCCCGGTCTCCGCCGGGACTCCGCGCTCCCCGCCATACTCCGCGGCCCCCGGGCTCCGTGCCGTCTGACTCGGCTGCAAGGATGCAGCACCGGCGGCCCGACGGGCGGCCGGTGTTGGGTGACAGGCGGCCCTCTGGTCCGCACACCGGGCTCGACCTCCAACGCATCCCATCCCTCCGGCTCCCGGGGAAGCCAGCTCATAGCGAGTTGCGGCGACCTTTCAGTCGCTGCAGATCAGGATTCGGGTCCCGCCGGGTAGGTCTGCCGCTCGGGTGCGGCATATCTGTTGGCGGTGGCGACGTGCCGTTTGAAGGTAAAGTGGCAAGAAAGTGGTTGAGCACAGCTCATTAATTCGGACTGGCGACTCGCTGTTGGTCTTCACATCGCAGGCTCAGCCGTGGCCGGCCGCGCGAGGCGGACCGTCACCTGCTGGCGGGAGTCAGCCTCACCATGCCAGACAGCCAACCGGAAACTGGTAGCCTGCAGCTATGGGTCACTTCTGCTGACCTTTAGCTGGGGAGTCACATTTACATTTCCGGACTGGATTTTCAACGGATATATTGGAAACTGAAACACTCATCAGAATAGCTACTGCTCTAGCCAAGCGAGGGGATTGACCGCCCCAACTCACGGCCTGTCAGCGGCTTCCGTATCTCTCCACCATCCCCAATCAAGGGAGAGCCAGCTTTGGCAGGAGGTTAGCGTCCATGACGGGGTGTGGCGGTCGGCGCCCGCCCGCCTACCGCCCCAGGCCGGCTCGGAGCGCGGCGACCGGCGGCTCCTCAAGTCGGGCGGCGCGCCGGCCCCGCCCCGCCCCAGGCGTCGCTCACAGCGGCGTCCTGCCGTCGCCCGCCACTTACACAAAGCCGGCCGGCTGAGCGGGCCGCGGTTGCCCATTCTGGCAACGACCGACGCTCGGCGGGCGCGGGGCGCCGGCCGTCCGGCGGTGGCCACCGGGCGACGGTGCCGAGCGGAGGGCCGCCGCGTCCGCCCAGCCGCCGAGACACCAAGACAGCCCAAGGGCGGCGGCGCGTCGGCTCGACGACGGCCGTCTGGGCTCCCGACGACTCCTCTCGGCGCGCGGGATGCACCAGCACGCGAAGGCGCGAGTTTGGGGCCACGGCGCCCGCACCAAGGAGAAATACTCGCACGGGTTTGTCTTCGTGCTCGTTCGACAGATTTCTCTCGCCCATTACCCTCGCTCCGCCGATGAGCGCGTGCCACGACTTCGCCCTGCCGTTTTTCGCTCGCTCTCTCGCTCTCGTTTACGAATGGGCGTGTTTCGCGCAACGACGACCGACACCACCACGTGCGCACGCGACACCGGCGGGGGCAATGACGTCACACACTCCGCGTCCCAGGGCACGCGCCGGCCGGCTCCAGCGGGTTGGCCAGGAGTCACCGCCGCGGCCGGCAGCGCTCGTGCCGCGTGCCGCCGCTCGGCCGCGCGCTGCTAACCTTGCGGTCGACCGAGCCGCTCCACGCCTCCGACTCCTCGTCCAGCAGCTTGAGGTCCGGGTCGTCGACCGAGTCGCCGAGCGACATCACGGGCGCTGCGGGTACGGCGGCACCGGCGGTCAGAGAAGCGGCGCGCGCGGCCGGGCCCGAACGGCTCAGGCGCGCTGAACGCGACTCATACGCAGCGAACACGGAACGCACGACTGAGATAGGCCAGAACGACCAACACGCGGCGCCCACGGTCACTAGCCGACAGGCGGCACAGCGTTGCTGACGGATGGCACAGACTTGACCGATATCTCACAAACGCGCCGAACAAGTGACAGGCCAAAGTGGGACCGCGTCAGTGACATGCATCCACGCTAAAGGGGGGGGGGGGGCGGCCCGTCACAGTCCGCCACATGAGAGAGACGACACTTAACACATGGCCGACACACGACAAACAAGTGACGGACGCTCCACGGAAAATGGACCGAACGCAACACAAAACGGCACGGTTTGCTTGCGGGTACGCGGTGGCACGGTCCAACGACTCCACCCGCAGTTGCCGACCGCGTCGCCGCAGCACCCCCTCGTCTCAAACGACATCCAGAACCGGGCGGTCAGCAGCGCGCGGCAGTTCTGCTGGGCAGCGCGCGGTCGGCCGGCGCTGGACGGCGTGTCTAGACAAGCGTCGACACAGGCCAGCCCCGGCAGCACGCCCGGCGGGACGTTTTTGCGCCGCGTGATCCACGAGCGGCGTCAAGAAGCTGCGCGCCGCACAGCGCCGACGCCGGACGCCGGAGCACACAAATGCGCCCGATTTCGCGGTCAGGGTGCGACAGGTGGCGCGGCGGCTCCGCGCCGGCGGCGGCCGGACAAAGGCGATGTCAAACGGGGACGGAGCCGACCCCACAGCGCGGTCTGCATGGGTCGGCACCGCTGGCATCGGCAGTCGGACGCAACTTCCACCAACTCAGAGCAGCGGGGGTGGTTATTGGCCGTAGGCGGGGCTTTGTGGTCATGGCAATGCACGCTCAAGGAAAGGTCACCACACTCTGATATTTGGCTGGGCTAATCTGGGAGTGCCGAGGCATCCGGCGAAACACATCAATCCCCAGACGGCGTCCCAGGCTTAATGCAATTAGCGAATCATCAGGAGACTGCGATCAATGAGCCCGCGTGTTGTCGATCAATCGTTACGTAAACCGGCATGCAGGTGTGCGCGACGACTTTTAGAAGCATTGGGAGTGACGCCTGCAACAAAACGCGTCTGGAGTTTATGGTTCCAATACGGTCATTTGGCGATCTGTGGTGGCGCCCGCCGCTCCTCGCGCGACGCACTGCTCCTCGCGCGGCGCGCCGCCAGTGCAGCGGCGCGCGCAAACGTCACGGCAGGGCTCCCAGGCGCCACCGCCGGCGGCCGCCGCGGCGACGCTGCGTGCGAGTACCGAGTACTGTGCCCGGGGCGTCACGGGACAGACGGGCGGCGACCCGAAGTCTGCGCACTGAACGACGCACAGGTGCTGCCCACCCGCCAGGTAAGAGTGACGGAAGTCGGTCAAAGGTCCGCGCAGCGCCGCTCACGGGTGGGAGCGTGACGCTTCCTCGCACGAGGGACACATGTCAACGGCAACACTCCGGTGGGGGCCACACACCCGTCAGCGTATCGGAATGCGCCCGGTTCACATCACCCGGGAGGCAGTGGTCTGTGGCGATGGGACGATATGTTGGAAATACCGACAGTCTGAATGTGCCGTTGTCTTGGAAACGTTAGAACAAAACGCCGCTTGCATAAATAATTGTCACGGAAGAGCGTTGAGTGACAAGCATTCTACAATCGCGACGAGGGACATCGATTGACCTGATGCAACAGCAAACATGCACCAACAAAACCAAGCCGTACAAAACCCAGCAACCGCTTTAACAAGGTGAAACACCATCCCACCCTCGCCACGTCGCGCCCCACCGTCCAGTGCCCCCGCGCCCCCGGCCGGGCCCGGCTGCAGGTCAGCCGCTCCCAGCCCGGCCGTCTCGCACACGGCAATGACAGGCACCCGCTCGACACACGCCCGCCGCCGCCGTCGCCGACGGTCGATGCATGCCGCCGTGAGCCACGAATGGGCCGGCACAGCGGCGGCTGGCGGAGCGGTGCGCCTCACGGACACCAGGCAGAGTCGCGCGACGGACCCGCCGCTGAGGTGTGGCTCGGAGGCGCAGTTCCGCGGGGTGGCTCGGAGGCGCAGCTCCGGGGGGTGGTGACGAGGCGTGGCTCGGAGGCGCAGCTCCGCAGGGTGGCTCGGAGGGGTAGCTCCGCGGGGTGGCTCGGAGGCGCAGGTCCGCGGGGTGGCTTGGGGGTAGCTCCGCGGGGTGGCTCGGAGGCGCAGCTCCACGGGGTGGCTCGAAGGGGTAGCTCCGCGGGATGGCTCAGAGGCGCAGTTCCGCGGGGTGGCTCGGATCGGAGGCGTAGCTCCGTTGGACAGCTCAGTAAGGAGTCACCAGACACAGCTGCGCGACGCAGACGCGGCATACGGCGCTGTGGAGAAACTCCGCCGCGCAAACCGTCCCGCACCTGCCCGACGCATCTCTCGGACAGAGCGTCGTGGCGGTGGCCCGTGCAGCACTTACCGTCGAACGGGTCAGCGAAGTTGGCCGCATCGTATTGTCTGAAACGCAAAGAAGAGCTGGCTACAAACCCACACAAGCATTCCATACGGCAGGGCATCAGCAGTTCTGACTGAAAGAACAAGCCAACACAAGCGTCCGTGTGCACTCGAGGTAGGCATGAGTCATGGACCAGTGTCGCACCGATTAAAGCGATGGAATGCGGACAAGAGAACGTAGACGCGTGTAAAGTGACGATAGCTGGCGGATTAAACAGGGGCTATCACGAAACCCAGTTCGCTGGTTCACTTCATCTAAGCAAGGAAGAGCTTGAGTTCCTAGTTTCAAGGCATCGTGGGTTGGGAATTCTCATGCTGGAACTAATAGGTATTTAAGAAACAAGGAGGTGCTGGTTAAGCGACGCTGTCAATCAAGCATCTGTCGTGTTGAGAGAACTCCACGTTTTAAACTTGTGACCACTTCTAGCCATGAGCATATCTTCGAAACATTAGGTATCCCCAATATAACCAATGCTTGCTTGATGACATCGTTTAACAAGCACCTCCTGGTACAATGAAAGCCGATCATTTTCAACATATGGACTCCCAGGCCATGATCCGTTGATTTACTCACAGAAGCGGGTCCTCCATGTCAGATGCCGACTTACTGAAACAAAAGCATTCGCCCCATGTTTGACCGCCGTGGCGAGCAAGCACCACAACACACACGCGCCACACACACCGTAATCTAATCGCTGTGGCGCTTGGCCGCCAGTGATTCAGGGGTTCACAAACAGTGCCAACGATACGCGCCGTCGATACGACCTGCGCTCTGAGCTTATTCGACCGCGCCGGCCAAGGCAATGACAAAGGTGATTCCCGTTTTGCGTGAGAAAGGATGTCGATACTCGGCGGATCAGCGCCGGCCACAGGCATACTATACACAGGCCACCTGAGATCCACGTAGCGGACTGCAGAGCACGCGGTAGAGGCGCGTCAAAAACGGACATGCTGTGTCAGGAGCAACAATCCTGCACCAATGGAGCCATGAACGTCAAACATATTGGTGAGTCACTGCGCGTCAACGCCAGCTACAGAAGACAGCCAACGAATGAGGACGAAGACAAGACACATCTCAAAATCAGAGAATGACAGAAATGCAGGCGAATATGATTGTGTGAACGAGCAACACCAACGAGACGCAGCACGTAAGCAGGACGTCGCGCAGCCGACCTACGGCGCAAGGCTCCCAAACACAAGGCCACAGAACAGCGAGAATTCTGGAGAGGCCGCTTCCGCAGAGCGGGCATCTACGTGTCCATGACGATCCGTCGGGCGGAGAGTGCCACCGGGACCTCAGCGGCCGCCGCGGCTGACCCGAGTTCAGGTCGGCGGCGCGGGGGCCGGCGGCATGCGACACTCGGTCACGTGGCCGGCCGGGGCGCATGCGCAGTGCCAGGCGGCAGCCGTCGACCGCGCCGCCGCCGAAGGCGCGGCGCGGTCGGCGGCCTACAGCGAGAGAGAGAGAGCGCGCGGCGCCAAGGGCCCCGGCAGCGCGGTGGAGCCGGCGGGCGCAGGCCGGCCGGCCGGCCGGCCACAGGCAACACAGCCAGCCAGGCGGGTCGGGCCGGGCGGGCGGCCGGGCGCCGCCGCCACTTACTTGACGCCCAGCTTGACGGCCACGCGGCGCCACTGGCTGCGGCCGCCGGTAAGGCCGGCCACCAGCAGACGCGTGGGCGAGCTGCAGCTAGCAACGTGAGAGTCGTTCAGCGCTCCGCTCGGCACGCGCCGGCCGCTCGGAGGTGGGCGAGCCACTCATCCAGTGAGTCAGTGCGGCTGAGGGACGGCCCCCTCCCCCTCCCGCTCCCCAGGGGTGGGTGGCATGGTCCCGTCCCGCGCGACTGACGTGTGCCGGAAGAACCGGACCCGTCCGTCGCGAGGGAGCCGGCCGACGAGTCCGGCCCGGTCGCGGCCTACAGTCGGAGCGTCACGCGGCCGGCCGCCGGGACAGGACACCAGGAGACACCGACGCCGACATGCCAGGCCCATGCAAGCGCGCTGCGCCCCTCCATACTGCCGCCTACCGGGCTGAGTCAGGTCGCGTGACCGCAGCCATCACGTGCGCCGTTTGGCTGGGTCTCACGGCGGGGCTCGCACACGAGTTTCGGCCAGCTCGGCTCACCGCCACGCCCGTCCCCCGGCAGCGGCGGTGTTCGCCGCCCGGGTCCCGTAGACATCGCTCCCCGTGGAGCACCCAGCGCCGGCCCCGGCCGCACAGCCCACAGAATCAGCAATACCGCGGCGAACTGCAAGCTTGGACGGGCGCGCCGGACGTCCCGCTACCCGCCCTCCCAGCCAGAGCTCACACGCACACCACCACGCCACCACCACGCGGCCTCTGAACGACGCCTCCCCTCCGAGGATCCGCGGCAGGCACCCGCACTCGCGCCCGCACCCGCGCCTGCACCCGCGCCCGCAACCGCACCCGCACCCGCCGTCGCGGGCCCGATCCTCCGCCGGCACTCACTTGCGGCTGAAGTCAGCGATCGGCGGCGACACCTTGGGCGTGGTGAGCGTGCTGCTGTTGAGCCAGCGGCCGCTGGCCACCGCCTGCGAGCCGCGCTGCAGCAGCGTCAGCGACTGGGAGTGCTTCTTAACGGCCTTCTCCTTGTCCTGCGAACCGGACGTGCGTCAGGGACGAGCGGGAGACGGGGCACGGCATCCGCAGGCACGCGAGGCAGCCACAGGGACAGCACCCGTCAGAGGTCGTTGGGTTGGGGTGGGAGAAGTTCCTACCAGCAGTGGACGGTGACGGGACGAACAAGGCAATGTGCGGCGTGGGTACAGTTGAAAATTTGAGGTCGTGGGCACGAAACGATACGGCAGGAGAGTGTCTCACGATGAGAAGAGGTGACTTAATCCTAGAAATATATTTCAATAAGGAGCTAGACATTAATCATGTGAAGAGCACAGGGTCGGGAGACGTGCGCGACAGAGCAGCGAAATTGACGCCAGCCGCGCGCCACAGCCCAGCGCCGGCACCCCAGCGCGCTGTGCCCCGTCGAACGGGCCCGGCGGGCCTAGCGACAGCTGGGGCGACGGGCTGCCGACGCGCGCCTGCCCGCGGCCACAATCATCCCCGGGCGGCGCGCCTCGCCCTCACGAGGGCGGCGGTGCGTCTCATCGGGCGTGCCGGCGCACCGCGCGGCCGCTTGCTCATCTAGCGCGGCCATTCACGCCGGCGCGCCAGAGCCTCGCGGCCACCGCGGCCCTGATGAAATGAGACGCCGGCGGGAGCGGCGGGAGCAGCAGCACACGCGCGATACGAGGAACCGGGGAGAGAGGAAAGGGGAGAACGCACGACATACACTGCGCGAGTGAGTGAGTGAGTGGGTGAGTGAGTGAGTGAGTGAGCGAGTGGGGGATGAAGGAGGGAGGGAGTGAGTGAGTGAGTGAGTGAGTGAGTGAGTGAGTGAGTGAGTGAGTGAGTGAGTGAGTGAGTGGTGAGTGAGTGAGTGAGTGAATGAGTGAGTGAGTGAGTGAGTGAGTGAGGCTTAGTGAGTGAGTGAGTGCGTGAGTGAGTGAGTGAGTGAGTGAGTGAGTGAGTGAGTGAGTGAGTGAGTGAGTGAGTGAGTGAGTGAGTGAGTGAGTGAGTGAGTGAGTGAGTGAGTGAGTGAGTGAGTGAGCGAGTGAGCGAGTGAGCGAGTGAGCGAGTGAGTGAGTGAGTGAGTGAGTGAGTGAGTGAGTGAGTGAGTGAAGAGCTAACGAGGAATTTGGTAAGTTCAAAAAAGTGAGCCGCTGACTCAGGATGGATTGGCGGATCCAATCATAAATCCGTGGTAACACCTAGCTTATGGTCTGCAGCAGAGCGTGTATCGTTCCGTTCGTCTTGTCAAACTGCACACAAATCGCGACCTTGTGCTACAAAGCAATTCTGTGGAGGCGACGGTCACGTCGAATACTTAGGGCGTCCGCACACAACAGACCGCGCTGGTATTCGGAGCGGCCGGCGGCGCCTAACGCGCAAACAGCATGTCCGCTCCGATAGCTCCGTTGGTTACGACGCTCGCCTTCCGATTCACCCATCCGAGGCAGGGCGGGTTCGCGTCGCCTTGGGCACTCGCTTTTTGCCTCTGAGATCGCCTCTAGCCTCTGCTGACTGGGATGACCTCTGACCGGTGGTAGATGCAGTGGTCAGATGAAATCAGAGGGCAGGATAGATCGCGGTGAGCATTGCAGCACGTTTGGCTTTCGCTGCAAAAATTTTGCTGGCAAACCGAAACGCCACGGACGCCACGGACGCCACCAGTCCATGCTGACTCAACATGCACATCTTAGCATGTGCCTGTTATGTGTGTGTACGATATGTGTTATGTATGTGTGTGTGTGTGTGTTATGTATGTACCATGTGTGGTCTCCGAAATCCGTCCAGTAAAATAATTCGGACCCAGTACCTAAGAAAAATACCTGAAAAACTCGGAGGCCGCGATGAGCCGCGAGGCCTTCGCGACAGCCCGCCTTCTCCGCCATCGAACGCTATTACGACCGAGCCATGTAATCCGCTGCGTGAAAACCACGCGCCAGCCGGCAGGGTTTCACCGTAGATGAGGCCAGTTTTTGCCAGCGAAGGCGGCGGGACCCGGTGCCCGCCGAAGCTCGGCAGTCGCCATCAAATCACCCGCTCCGGCGGCACCACACGCCGGCCGGCGGCGGGGGCCATCCCCGTTGGAGGGCCGGCGCGCGCGGCCGCCGCAGGTCAAGGCCGGCCAGCGCCGCCGGCGGGCTTAGCAACAGAGAGGCCGCAGCGCGAGCCGGCGAGGTGAGACTGGCCTCCGGCCTCACCTAGCGCCCCCGACCGGCCCGGAGATGCCGGGCCGGACCGCGCTCGGTCGCTCGTTACCAGCCGCCGTAATTAACACCGGCCAACAGCATTAGCATCGATCGGCCATTCGGCGCAAGTGGGAGACATCGGCGGTGTTCGGAGCACTCGGGATCGCATTACGGGCTTTCGTGCGTAACGTCTCTACGAGAGGTCGGCTGCTTCCCCACTGAATGCCAGGCAATCTAGCCACTACTCAACCTCTTCAGAGGCGGGGCCAAACCCATCTCACAGCGGAACGCAATCCAATGGGGCATTTGCCCCACAGCGGTCTGCGGACTGGCCTGCCTCGGTTTGGGGTTGCAGGTTAGAATCCAGGCGCCTCAGGTCTATTCATCAGTGGGCACATGCCAAAAAGACTCCCGACAGTAGCTGCTTTGGTGGTAAGATAGCATGCCTAATACGCAACCATCCAGCTCATTCCATCAGCCTAGGAGTCAGGCTTGTCCTCGGAAAGGGCCTCTCGTAACACCGGCCTCCCAGCGTTCGTCAGAGATTTGCTTCCTGTATCTAGAGGGAAAAGACCGTTGTCAAATAGTTATTGATGCTGGCGCCCCAAGCCGCGTGCGATGCCGTGTGCCAAGCAGGTGTGACCTGCCGTGGCGAACGGTGCGCAATCTGGCGCACGTCAGATGTGGGTAACGGGACCTGACACCACGTGTGGGTAGTGGGACCTGACACCAGGTGTGGGTAACGGGACCTGACGCCGGCTGAGTGTGTCCGCCAGAGCCGCAGGGCACGGCTACCGCTCCGCCGAGAGGGCTGGCCCCATCAGTGGCGGCGGCAGTGGTGGGCTCCACTAGCGCACACTCCGCTGGTCACCGCCAGCAGTGGTGGGCTCCACTAGCGCGCACTCCGCTGGTCACCGCCAGCAGTGGTGGGCTCCACTAGCGCGCACTCCGCTGGTCACCGCCAGCAGTGGTGGGCTCCACTAGCGCGCACTCCGCTGGTCACCGCCAGCAGTGGTGGGCTCCACTAGCGCACACTCCGCTGGTCACCGCCAGCAGTGGTGGGCTCCACTAGCGCATACTCCGCTGGTCACCGCCAGCAGTGGTGGGCTCCACTAGCGCACACTCCGCTGGTCACCGCCAGCAGTGGTGGGCTCCGCTAGCACACACTCCGCTGGTCACCGCCAGCAGCTCGTGAGCGGAGCGCCCACCAGCGCAGCCGCGAGCTCGGAAGGTCGCAGCGGAGCGCCCATCAGCGCAGCCGCTAGCTCGGAAGGCCGCAGCGGAGCGCCCATCAGCGCGGCCGCTAGCTCGGAAGACCTCAGCGGAGCGCCCACCAGCGCAGCCGCTAGCTCGGAGGGCCGCAGCGGAGCGCCCACCAGCGCAGCCGCGAGCTCGGAGCGTCGGCTTTCGGAGCGTCGGCTTTCGGAGCGTCGGCCGGCTTTCTTTGATGGCGGGCCACGCCCGAACACCCGCGGTAACCATCCAAACATATTGCAGCTTTTTGTCACTGGTTGCCCTACGCTTTGGCCACATAATGTGGCTTGGATCATGCGAGTGCTCAGATTCCAAACATATCCTCATGCGAAAACAAAACTGTGCACAAAGTGTGTCCTGCACGGGCCATTTCGAGCTTTCTGGTTCATCTGTTGCACCGTTTCGTGCCCTTACACGACAAGCATCGGTGGAAGAGCATAAAATTGTTGTTTAAGGTATACGCGAGCATCTGTGAGTGATTTGACGCCAGAAACAATACCCTACCTACCTTCATAACTGGCATTTTCCCCAGGAATCTCTGACGTAGTTTCTACCTGTTTACACCTCATACATTATGGGTGGGTCAGAGGCCATTCTCCCAGAACTATACATATCTCTACCTGCTACAACGTAAGACGTTTATAGCTGGGTCAGAGAAGCCATTCTCTCAAAACTATTGTCATTTCTGCCTGCTCAAACGTAATACGTTTATAGGTGGGTCAGAAAGGCCATTCACACGGGACTAAGGCCAGTCACAGAACCGCGATAACACGTCATTTCCACCGTCAATTATCTATGATGACGGTTGTTTCACTGCATGCACATTTTCCGCTCGTCCACTCATCTTTTTCGCGTGAGACCGCAAAAAACGGGAATCACATTTGGAATCAGTGCGAAACGCTACATCAGAATGGATGTAGCTTTCCAGAAATGATGGAAGAGCACTTCAGAAACGGCTAGAGACAGGGTCAGACCCTAATGAACAATACGGCACGCACCTGGAGAGGCTGAGTAAGCAGCAGACTTTCGGGAGCGACGAGTGGGGTTGTCTCTCCATCTGCAGCCATTCAGTGCTAAATGAATACAAATTCATCGGCTTCGGGCCGAGCTAATCCTCGCCTCTGCTGACAAGCGTATCAGAGTCGGCTCCAAGCCTCCAGCCAACCGTTGTCAAAAAAGCAGGGTCCTCACACACCACCGCATTGTGCCCGCGACTGCAAAACGACCGCGACAGCACACCGATAACCGCTCTCAGCAGCGAGGCGCGTCCGAGACCACCAGCGGGACGTGCGCCATTCACTGCCCCTTGACCACTAGGCGGCCGATGGGCCGAGGATGCCCGTTCAGCCCAGCGTTCGCCGCCGCGTCCAAGCGGGCTCGACGGGCGTCGTCACTGCCGACATCACCGCCGTGTCTGCCAGCCTCCGTCAGCGGACGCCGCCGTGTCTGCCAGTCTCCGTCGGTGGACGCCACCGTGTCTGCCAGTCTCCGTCAGCGGACGCTGCCTTGTCTACCAGTCTCCGTCAGCGGACGCCGCCGTGTCTGCCAGTCTCCGTCAGCGGACGCCGCCGTGTCTGCCAGTCTCCGTCAGCGGGCGCCGCCATGTCTGTCAGTCTCCGTCAGCGGACGCTGCCTTGTCTGCCAGCCTCCGTCAGCGGGCGCCGCCATGTCTGTCAGTCTCCGTCAGCGGACGCTGCCTTGTCTGCCAGTCTCCGTCAGCGGACGCTGCCTTGTCTGCCAGCCTCCGTCAGCGGACGCCGCCTCGTCTGCCAGCCTCCGTCAGCGGACGCCGCCGTGTCTGCCAGTCTCCGTCGGTGGACGCCACCGTGTCTGTCAGTCTCCGTCAGCGGACGCTGCCTTGTCTACCAGTCTCCGTCAGCGGACGCCGCCGTGTCAGCCAGTCTCCGTCAGCGGGCGCCGCCATGTCTGTCAGTCTCCGTCAGCGGACGCTGCCTTGTCTGCCAGCCTCCGTCAGCGGACGCCGCCTCGTCTGCCAGTCTCCGTCAGCGGACGCCACCGTGTCTGCCAGCCTCCGTCAGCGGACGCCGCCTCGTCTGCCAGTCTCCGTCAGCGGGCGCCGCCATGTCTGCCAGTCTCCGTCAGCGGGCGCCGCCATGTCTGCCAGTCTCCGTCAGCGGGCGCCGCCGCACCGCACTGCCCGGCGAGCGCGGCCGCGGCACGGGGCCGCGCAGCGGGGACCAACGGCGGCGGCGGGCCCCCGATTCCTTAGGGCCGCGGCGGAGCGGACGTTCCGCGGCGGCCGCGGCACAGAAGGCGCACGGCCGTCACACAGTCAGGGGCTGTCGGCTTCTCGGCCCGGAACCCCAACACTGACATCACTCCTTTTGAGTAGCTGAAGCTACGCACGGTCATGGCCACAACGCCCATATCACCTGACCAGAGACTTGTGCACAAGGAATGGAGTATGGCAGATCCGCATATATGCATTTTCTACACGCATAATTTCGCGCCCGTTCCAGCATAGGTGTAAGCGTACCCGTCAGGGGACAGCCAGGTCTGGCTACCATTGGCAGCAGTGCCGACCTATGAAGTATTCAACGCAGGCTACCATTTCTTGTACCGTGAAGTTCTAGCCAAACATTCCAGACACCCAATCGACGTTGCCTGTCGCTGCGGTCATTTGGCACATCAATGCACCGGCCATACAGTAATGCTTTTCGCGGCACCAATCTTCCATTTTCATTCGACAACCACCTTTGCATGCGGTGGTCTGTACTCACACATTCGCCGCGTAGCCTTTCGGCAGCCGCATTCAACCCTCCAGCCGAAATCCTCAGGTAAACCAAGACACTCGCAAGAGACGAGGGAGCCGGTCATCATCGGACACCACGCCTCGTGGGAGAGCCCTCGCCAGGAGGCCGACCAGTCTCCGACGGCCTGGCCATCTGGCCGGCCTGGCGTGGCGCGCCAGCACGTACCTTCTTCTTCCTGAAGAAGATGCTGCTCCGCTTGCGTCGCTGCTTGCGGTCGTCCTCCAGGAACGACGGGCTGTCGGCAGAGGCGGCGCTCAGCGGCGGAAACGGCGGCTCGCGGGCGACGGGGGCACGCGCCGGTACACGTGGCCGGCCAGCGAGACGGCGCCGGTCGGCCGTTGGCGCCACGCGGGAGACCGTCGCGAGGAGATCTCAACGCTTATCCAGCAGCCCAGCACAAGCGGAAACTGCGCACAATCAGAGCCGGGGAGCATGCGCTTGTCATGTCGACGGACTAAATTTAGACGGGATAAAACGACGCTGCATTTCGTGGCTGAGCGTGTTCGGCATCCTGTGCACGCGGTGGGCGTTCTAAGCAAAAGCCGACTCCAGTCATCGCGCGGCTCCGACCAGGGGTTACAAGTGCGACACGGCCGGAGGCGAGACTGAGAACTGATCTGAGTCCTTCCACCGGGACTTAAGACGCCGGCCGGTGGCGGCGAGCTTTTAAGTATCGGCTGAACCGAACCCTCCCTGCCGCAGGAAGAGCATGTTATTCCGCTGAACCGAACCCTCCCTGCCGCAGGGAGAGCACGCCATTCCGCTGAACCGAACCCTCCCTGCCGCAGGAAGAGCATGCTATTCCGCTGAACCGAACCCTCCCTGCCGCAGGGAGAGCACGCCATTCCGCTGAACCGAACCCTCCCTGCCGCAGGGAGAGCACGCCATTCCGCTGAACACCATCACCATTGAACGCACGCAAGGGTGCGTGAGCCAACTCTGAATGGGCGCGCGTAGATGTGCGGCTCCGGCGCGCGCGTGGCTCCCAGAGGGAGGCGTGCCTCGAATAAAACTTTCCTACGCCATCCCCGGTGAACGCAAAGCCATGGACGACACGCTGTCATGTGCGAGCGTGTCTGTGAAGCCAGAGCTGCAACTGACAGTAAGCCACGTGACGAACATTCCGCGGTTGTTTTTTGCACCCTCGCATGAAGCCGTCTCAGCGGCAGGCCGCGGATGTGTTTGACGATCTTATGCACAGCCTTTCCAACTTCATCGGTTCTACACCACAGCATTGTGGCTGACTTACTATCTGGGGCATTTTACGACAAAATGGCACGGGCATAACACACAATATGTTATATTTCGATGAGCATTCTTCCAGGTCGTCTTGTGTCCCGAATCTAACTGCCATTTTGAGAGCGTTCAGAGCAATGGTCGAAGAGCTATAGCTTTGAGCATCGCTAAGAGCTAACAAAATCATCTTTGAGAGCCTAAGACATAATCTATAAATATTTAACTCGCACACAACTATGTTCCGCTAAACTTTCAATGGCACAGTGCATCTTTTGGCTATTTCCAAATCTGTCTTCCCTTTATTTTCAAAACCGTAACAACGTGACCAAAAGTCATGTGACATAATTTGGCCTATTGGACAGCCACAATGTTATTTTGTTGAATGCAGAAACTAGAAACACCTACTTTTATATCACAAGAAGAAACTGACAAACGCCTTTTTCAAAAAACGATTCATATTCGTTCTAAACCGGATATGCGCGGATGATTTCGTGCTAGTTCCAAGCGCCCTCAGCTGGGATGTAAGGGATGTGTTATTGCTGAATTGACAATTACTTCCCTGAAAATTACTCATTTGCGGTGCAAGACGCGGCCCAAGGCTTCTACTGGCACTCCTCTCAGTGCGCTGTGCGCCCGCTCGCAGCATACTGGGAGGTGTGCTGTACCATCAGAGCTACAATTTCATCTCTGGTGGTACAAGGCATAACACCCCAATGGTTCATGCGTTTTCGCAACGACTTGCCCAGACCTTCGTACCTTAGTGTCCAATTTAAAACAATGTATTTTTCACAGCCAGCAGTGCCGCACAAATTAAAAATAAGTACATTTTCATCAATGTGCGCCAACATGACGCTGACTGTGGTGCCCTGTGAGGGGCACTTTTTACCACGTCGCATGGCAAGGGGCCCGTGACGGCATTGGGGGCACGGCTAAGCGTGCCGCAGAACTAGAGAGCCTCAGGCACACCCAAGATGGGCAAGTACTGGCGGCGAAGGACGTATTCAAATTTCTGTCGGAGAAACTGGTCACCAAAACCATGCTCATCTATGTGCTCGATTTCGACGCGGTGGCGGCGCAAACCACCTCACGGAGAGCTTTTCCAAAAGTCATCACGGCGAATGGCACTCAAGGTTTCCACAGGCAGTGACACCGACGACTCTGAGGGCTCACCATCCGTGCACCGACGCGAGACCTGTGGTAGTAGCACGGCGGCAGTACGTTACTGTGAGCGCGCCGAGGCTATGCGTGTGGGTGGGGGAGTCAGCATATGGCATGAGTAACCCATGCGATATGTTGTAGTCACGCGATATGTCAGCCAACCGTTGGCTGGCGGATGAGCGGCTCATATCATCGCTGCGGTAAGCTGTTGTGTTGTATGATGCTTTCAAGTCGGGTTATCATGGCGCGTCATTGCAAACGGCTCATAGTGATATGCGATTCGCTGCATGTGCAGCTCACGCGCCAATTGAAGCGGCCCTTTATGTTGGGTGACGGGTACGAATATGTGAATATATTTCGTAGCGAATCATTTCACATATTTGTTCTTATAACACTTTCCGTCCAACCGTCAGCTTTTCACTATATTACACGCACGGGAACCTACCCCCACACGCACACAAACATTATCTTTACCTTACATATTATACACAAACATACATATATATGTATATATATATAAAGCAAATATATTAAGTGTGTGTTTGTGTTGCATATCTGATGCATATTACTCACACCAAATTATATTTTGCAACACATTCCATGATATTCCAGCTCGTAGTTTCTATCATCGATCAGATCCGATTGAAATGGCCCTACATGCCCAGTTTATAACAACAAGTGTACATTTTCAGAAGAACAACGTCGTTTTAAACTTGGTCTTGGTAGAGAAGTAATTGCTGTAAATTTCGGCGTTTCGAAAAATAGCATTGTAAACGGGCAACATGCCAAAAAGACAACGTGATATCACGTCATGACGTTACGGCTTTGAAAGTTCAGTAAATACAAATATAGATATGGCCGAAAAGATTCATTGGATCATTGCGAGTTTAGTGGCATGTGCCTTTGCGCAATTAAGATATATATATTTGAGTTACGAACCATTATAGTCACCAATGTGAGCTGGCCTAAAAATGTTAAAGGCTGTAAGTTCTGTCATTGCTCTATTCTTTCTATAAAAAAATGGGGCAGCTGAGTTCGAGGTATAACACAATCCTATACACAGTGAAATGAAAAATCTGGACTGTTATTTCGGCCCCTTCGCCTGTCGATTTGTCGTGAACTGGGCCCTCTTTTGAAGGGACCCTGCATGACACGCTCCGGCACGTTGGCGTCCGTGAGCACCTCTCCCAGTGTGACCCACGTCACCGTGGGAACATCGACGGGCATCTCACCTCCCGTGTGACACGCCTGGACAGGAGGGCACCACTCCGCGCCTCACCGCCCGCAAGCGCTTCACCACGACGAAACCAGCGAGAGTCGAACGCCCTGCATAACAAACTTCCGCCTGATGGCATCACCAAGCGCTCGGCTGCCGCACGAGGCGCGCGTGAGCCACTTACTCCCGCATGAAGGTGTCGGGCGGCGCGGAGCGCATGGCCACCAGCTCCTGGCGCTCGTCGTCATCGTCCGAATCGTTGCTGAGCAGACCACTGCGGCGCACGGGGAACACACGTGCAGACCTCTGACACGGCACGGGGCACACGCGTGCACACACACGCGCACACACACAAACAGCCGACGGGCAGCGTGCAGCCCGCGTCGGCGGCAGGGCCTGCGTGCCGCGAGCACGCCGGCCTCCACGGTCAGGGCGCTGGGCCGCCCTGGCCCGACACAGAAGCGCATCGCCGGGGGGGACAGGGAGCAGAGACAGGATAGATGGAGGCGGAGGCAGCTAAAGGGTCCCGAGTGTGCATCGAGCGACTGTCGCCGCCGGAGCAGAAGGGCGGAGCTCAGCTCGCGGGGCGCGGCAGACAGCGGCCACCCACAGCGGCACGGGGACCCCCTCCTCTCCCCCCCCCCCCCCGCTACGCGCGGCACACAGCCGCTGCATAAATGCACCGAGCTCCGCGACGATGCACCGGCAGCGAATGACCAGCGTCGCACGTGGCGCCCTATCTGGCCGTCCAGGCATGCCATCGGCCCCGGAAGCCCGGCGTTCGCCGCCGGCGCGCCCCGGGCCGTTACACCGTGAGCCGGCTCATATCGTGGCTGTGGGCGGTCCAATTCCGCTCGAGAACAACACGGTTGGCCGGCGGCTCCCGAGGCGCGGACCTGGCGCTCCAGCTGCGGCCGCACGGCAAACCCTCTCTGGCCGCGCCACTTCGATGGCGCTCATGGTCGTTTTCGGCCCGACCAGCGATCGTTCGACAGCGGGGGCAGGGGGGGGGGGGGGATTCGCCGGAGGCAGCCGCTGCCAGACCCCGGTGGCGGCCGAGCGACACAGCGGACCCGATCGGCAGGCGCGCACAAGCACGCCGAAGTTGCTTCATCAGTGTCCCCGGCGGACCACTGGACCGGGTGGGTACCGATGGCGACTCCACGACAGGTCAGGCGGTCTGCGCCGAGGTGAAGCGTCTTCACGCGGCGCGGAACTCTTAACTAGCCCGGGGATAACCGCTGTGACAACACGCCCGTCACGCGGCGTCGCCACAGGAGCTCAGAAAAGTTGAGCCGTTGTGGGATTCGGTCTTCCGTCGCGGCAAAATAAACAGTGGGCGCGCACAGATGTCCTTCATCCCGTCACCCATCAATGGTGCCGAAACCCTGATAAAACGCGATGGCTTGATGCTAAAACTTGTCAGACACGTTGCGAAGTACAGGTAATGGCTGGCAAAAATTAAGATAACGTCGGTACATATCAATATGACCGCAATAAATAGGTCTAGCACTTGGCAGCAGACGCCCCAATTTTGACGCTCGCGCTGAAAGCTAAAAACGACAAACAATAACAAAAACAGAGCCGCTTTAGACAAGTCGAAGCAGGCCGCAGCTGCCTGGCAGCTGCAGATCCGCCTGGGTGGGGGGGGGGGAAATACCAATGATAAAGCAACACCGAGATCAGAAACACAAGAACCAAACGGCTCTCACGAGGGCGACCATTTACGTATGGGACGATAGCGTTGTTTAGCTCAACGCCCATCCTATTTCCGTTTAAGAAATCCCCACGATAATCATGGATCAAACAAGCGTCCCTAATTGCAACTCGGCGGTATTTGAAATGGGAGGTGTTTGTCGCAAATTCATTACAGAGCCCTTTGAACACCGCACCAGCAATGATGAAGGGGAGCGGAGATACACGCGACCCCCTCCCCTCTCGGGCTGGATTAATCCTAACGGCACAATGCTTGTGCGAAGCCGACAGGCTTTCATCCCGCTCAGCGCCGTCCGAGGGAGCCTCTGACTGGCCAGATCAGCCCTCAGCCGACGGCTAGTCAGCGCCGTCCGAGAGAGCCTCTGACTGGCCGGATCAGCTCCCAGCCGACGGCTAGTGAGCGCCGTTCGAGGGAGCCTCTGACTGGCCAGATCAGCTAGCTGAGTCGTCCGAGGGAGCCTCCGACTGGCCAGATCAGCTCCCAGCCGACGGTCAGTCAGAGCCGTCCGAGGGAGCCTCTGACCGGCCTGATCAGCTCCCAGCCGACGGTCACAGTGAGCGACGTCCGACGAGGCCGCTGCCGCGTTTCGCCGCGACGAACAGACGGCCAGCCGGGTCGCCATCTGCTCCCCCTCCCTCTCCCACCCCCCGCCCGCCCCCCACCCCACCCCACACCACCCGCGGTCTCGGCTTGAAAACCGGCGGCGGCGTGGAGGACTTTGTATGGCCAACAAACAGGAGCGCGGCACCCGCGCACCAAACAAGACAGCGCGGAACGGAGCACTCCCGTGGGCCGGTGTCCTGCCCGCCGCGGCTCCAGCGGCGCTGGACAACCGAGGTGAGTACGGCAGGCGGCCGCGTCGCTCGCCGATCCCCGGCCAAGAGCGCTCGGAGCGGCGGGCGACACATCGCGGTGGGAGAAGGCGGACGAGAACTCGGCTGCCCCGGCGTGGACTTTGAGAGCACGGCAGGAATCCAAGCGGATAACGGGGGATGGGGGAGCTATAGGCCCATCTAGACGGCGTCGGGTGTCAAGGACCAAGGGTAGCAGCGTCTGCGGCTAAAACGTTTACACATGGTAACGGTCTACACGCAGGCATCTATCCACCAGCCTACCAGGTAACACATTCAGAGCGTCTACACAACAGGCCGCGACTCATAGTAACCTGCGCTGCCAAGAAAGGCGGGACACCAACCAGCACACAGCAACCCCTGCAACCAACTCGCTGAGTGCACACTGGAGACACGGGCCGAGACAAGCCAGCGCGGAGCCTGCGCCACGAAAACCTCTCCTACTACGCTAACACCACGGCTCACGTGCGCACCAGCAGGCCCTGGCAGTGCCACTACACCCCGCCAAGACACCACTTACCGCCCGGGAGCTCGGCGCCGCACAAACTCGCGCGTCTCTCGCCGTCACCACCACCACCACCCAGCTCGGCGGCGCTCCGCCCGGCCGCCCGGCCCCCGACGCTCCCGGAGGTCCGCCGGGTGCGAGGGCGGCGCGGCCGGCACTGCTACTCACGTCAGCTTGCCGGCGTCCACCTCGGTGGTCTCGCGCGAGCTGAGGATGGACGGCGTCGACAGCGACTTCTGCATCTTGACGCGGGGTTCGGCGCTGGCCGACTGCGAGCTGCCGTGCTTGCCCTGCGGAGACGGCGCCGGGTGAGCAGCGGCACTGCAGGCCGGGCGGCCCGACGCGCGCTGGCGTCGGCGACACGCGGCAGACGCACGGCGTCCGACGCCACGGCGAAGCGCCGGCCAGCGGCGATCGCGATTCATCGGTGACGCCCGGCATCGGCGACCACACATCTCAGCGGGCCGGCGCGACCGGAGGTGCACCCTCCACACACACGCATACACATACGGACAGGGCGCCTCGCCGCCGGCTCATCACGGGCCCGCTGAGGTGGTTGTGAAGGGCCGGCGGCGTCTGGCGACAGCCCGCGTCATAACCCGAGGGTCTGGTGGGGCCGATGTGACGGCCTGGTGCGCTCGGCGGCCGCCTTCCGACAGGCCGCCCGACGGCGCCTCTGGAGGAGACGGCGCCTCTGGAGCGCACCGGCCGACCGCCCCCACGGGACCGATGCGGAGCCAAAGGCCCACAGGAAGGGGAGCGCTGCTGGCGGCCGCCGGCTCTATGGCGACGGGCGACCGAAACCATCCCAAAATCACGCGCTAACTGGAAGGTGCGAGAAAATGACTATGAATAAACAAACGCGATGAACGAAAATGTCTGGTTCCGTCACGGTGAAAGCCCGTCAAAGCTTTTTTTAAAAATCGCCATTCTCCGGACAGCATAACAGCATAGTGCTTCAGCTAAGTTCCGTACTTGTATAAGCACCCAAATGTGTCGGGGTAGCAATGGAACGGAATGGAAATGCAGCGCATGCATGGCACCGTCCCAGAGCGACGGGCGGACGATATTTCGCCCAACCAAATGACGGCAGCATAGATCGCCGCATTGCGCCAGTCGACGAAGGGCAGCGCGTTGGATTCCAAAGCGGCGCACCACAGCCGCCTCGCGCCGCGCGACGGTGTGACGGGCGGTGGCAACTCTCCGGAGACGCGTCCCGGTACGGGCCAGCCGATCTCCGGCGGCGCAACACGCGCCGCGCCGTATCGGCCGCCGCAGCCGTCGCCACCATGCCGCAGTCGCGACCACGCAAGTGATCGGGGCGCGAGCCGAGGCTGAGAGCGTCCGGCCCCGAGGCCGCTGTCGCCCAGCGCGGCCGGCCTGCCGCCGCCGCCGCGCTCCCTCAGACCGCGGCGGCTGCCGCCCGGAGGAGAAGCTCTCCGCACCTGCAGCCCCGAGGAGACACTCTGCGCGGTGGAGCGCAGCTCCTGGGTGCTGGCGCTGACGCCGACGCTGGCGGCCGTGCCCAGCCGGCCCTCATCTGGAACGGCACGGCCAACGTCAGAGGTGGGATCGAGACTACGCTAGGGGGCGACCGGCGCGGGGCAGGCGGCACGACAACACTGTGAGGAGCGCACAGACGGCAGCGGCGGCGGCAGAGTCGCACAGCTTTAGGGCGTCAAACAGCTACGTTGACCAGACTGGGAAAATCCAGCAGAGAAAACGGCGGGAGGAGATGGAGATGGTACAGACGAGCACGGGTGCCATAAAAAGACGGGATACGAACAAAGCGACCAACGGAGGCGGAGAACGCTCTCAGATCACAACGGTCAGAGCACACGGGCCTCAACGCACCTTTTTTGCCGGCGCTGGAGTCATCCGGTTCCGATTCCAAGCTGCTGAGGCTGAGGCTGCGGCAGACACGGGGGCACCGTCTCAGGCAAGGTCAAGGTCTCACACAGGCTCTTGGCAGGCCGAAGGCAACAAGCGCACCGACCGGAGCCGACATCGAGGACAGCGCGCACGTCCTTGCCACCACCGGCGGGCGACACAACAGCCCCCGGCCGGGACAGCACGTCCGCAGTGCTGTCGCGCCGGCCGTCCCGGCTCAGCGCGGAGCGGTCGACCCTGCCGCTCCGCAGCGTCTCCGGCGCGCCGCGAGCGTCGCCACCGCAGGGCGGACGGCGGGCGGGCGCCACCGCAGCCGCGACCGGGCGCGCCGCTCGATGCGCACTCGATGCACCGTCTAATGACGGCAGTGTGCCGCCGTCACCGCCCTAATTGGCAGCCGTCACACCCTGGACAGTCGACGGCCTGCCGGTGCCCCGCCCGCCCCTCCCGTCGGCGGTCGGCGGCGCCGCACGCACAGCGCGTGCAATGGACCGACCGCACACGTCGGCCGCGCCACTCCCGGAGCAGCTCAACTGCGACGTTCTAGCCACACACCAGAACGCACTGGTGCCCAATGAATACATTTGCAATCAATCTGTATGTAAACTGGAGTCTTTGGGCGGATGAGCAGCCAGATTGACAGACTACACAGCCGCGGATATACGCAACGATGCAAGCTCTACCAAGCAAAGTTAATCATACTCGCAGAACTTCACTCCCTTGCTTCACTCCTCTCACTCCCTTGTTTCACGCCTCTCACTCCCTTGTTTATGCGACCCCGTTCATGCTGAATGCAACTGTTCAGGATATTCCTTGTTGTTTCACTCACATGCGCCTGACCTGTTTCATCAGTTTGCTCCCGATATCACGTCCTGTTCCACTCACCTGCTTATAATCCTCTCGGCCCTGTTTCGACCACCTGCTCCTGAAAGCCCTTGTATTCTGATCTCAAGCTATCTTGCATCACCTAACCGCTACCGAGGGCTTATCCAGCTTGGCCCGCCGACTGCTGGGGCCAGCTCCATTCACCTGCTCCTGACAACTCCGTCCCGGCCGTCCCCGCTGCGTCCCGACCAGCTCCACTCACCTGCTCCTGAGAACTCCGTCCCGGTCGTCCCTGCTGCGTCCAGACCAGCTCCACTCACCTGCTCCTGACAACTTCGTCCCGGCCGTCCCCGTTGCGTCCCGACCAGCTCCACTCACCTGCTCCTGAGAACTCCGTCCTGGCCGTCCCTGCTGCGTCCCGACCAGCTCCACTCACCTGCTCCTGAGAACTCCGTCCTGGCCGTCCCTGCTGCGTCCCAACCAGCTCCACTCACCTGCTCCTGAGAACTCCGTCCTGGCCGTCCCTGCTGCGTCCCGACCAGGTCCACTCACCTGCTCCTGAGAACTCCGTCCCGGTCGTCCCTGCTGCGTCCCAACCAGCTCCACTCACCTGCTCCTGAGAACTCCGTCCTGGCCGTCCCTGCTGCGTCCCAACCAGCTCCACTCACCTGCTCCTGAGAACTCCGTCCCGGTCGTCCCTGCTGCGTCCACACCAGCTCCATTCACCTGCTCCTGACAACTCCGTCCTGGCCGTCCCTGCTGCGCTCCGACCAGCTTCACTCATCTGCTCCTGCCAACTCCGTCCTGGCCGTCCCTGCTGCGCCCCGACCAGCTCCACTCACCTGCTCCTGAAAACTCCGTCCCGGCCGTCCCTGCTGCGCCCGACCAGCTCCACTCACCTGCTCCTAAGAACTCCGTCCTGGCCGTCCCTGCTGCGTCCCGACCAGCTCCACTCACCTGCTCCTGAGAACTCCGTCCTGGCCGTCCCTGCTGCGGCCCGACCAGCTCCTCCGGCGGTCCTCGCTTGACGCGGCGCCGCCCACCGACAGCTTGTGTGGATCTGCGCGAGGGGCGGACGTGTTACTGCGGCGCCGCGCCACGCCATGCCACGGCGGGCGACGTACACCACCACAATTGGAAAGCACTAGCGATAATGGCGGTGGGTTACCCACCCGTCACAAACGACTGGCCAGCCCGCACCCAAAACCAGCGGGCGGCACCTCCGGCGCGACCAAGTCCGCTTCGGACGAAGGCGACGATGTATCTGCGGCTTGCGGGAATACCCCAGCCTCGAGGCCGTCCAGCGCGGAACGCCTGGAGCGCGATATATCTGATCGACACCGAACGCGTGTCGATTGACACAAACACGAACACGAGCGTCTTGAGCCGCCTCGTGACGGTACGGTGCCATGCCGACTGAGGAGGCTGGGTCGACGCCGCGTGGGCCGGCTAGCTGCCCAGGGGGTCCCCTACCGTAACCACTGCCGACGCCGGGTACTCGCCCCCGATCTCACGCGCCTAAACACCACTCCGTCGCCTGAAGGAGCGGTGGGCGGAAGGAGCGGTGCCACACGGAGCCACAATCGCAGCAGCCGCCCGTAAACCGGAGCGTTCATAAACCAACGGCTGACGTCGGCCCAATGCTGCGGCCGCGCCGGAGCACGGCTGCGGAGATGGTGACCAGGGGCGTGAGGGCAGGACGGTGAGCCCAAGCTGTCGGGGGAGGATGCTGAGGCCGAGGAGGCTGTTGGGGCAGGTGTGAGTCGGAGACCGTGTTGAGAATGTTGTCGGAGAGGGTGCCGAGGAGGAAGCTGTTGAAGGTGCTCATGAGTAAATTGTTAGTGGGACTGAGCAGGAGGCTGCTGCGGAAGGTCCTGAGGAGAAGGTTTTTGGGGAGACTGCTGAGGAGGCCGTTGCGGAGGGCGCTGAGGAGGAGGCTGTTGAGGAGAGGGCAAAGGTGAAGGTTGTTGGGGAGGGGGCTGAGGAGGAAGTTGATGGGGAGGGTGCCAATGAGAGGGTTGTTGAGGGTGCTGAGGATGATGATGGGGAGGATGCTGAGGAAGCTGTTGGAGACGCTACTGAGGAGGGGCTGTTGGAAAGTGTGCTAAGGAGAATGTTGTTCGGGAGAGTCCTGAGGAGGTTGTTGGGGAGGGTTTGAGAAAGTCGTTGGGAGACGGTGCTGAGGGAGAGGCTGTTTTGGGGCAGTGCTGAGGAGGTTGTTAGGGAGGGCGCTAAGGAGGTTTCTGTGGAGGGTGCCGAGTGCTGAGGCTGTTGGGGAGGGTGCTGGGTGCTAAGACTGTTGAGGACGGTGTCGAGGTGGAGGCTCTGGGCTTGATGCCTTCCAAAGCAGGAGACGAGTTAAAAGTGTCATCGGGGGATTCAGAGTTCTCAAGTGAGCGTACCAGGAAATTGAAGCGTCGCAGACATAAATTATGTAAATAAAATGTACTGAACCGGAAAAGCATGGGACGATGCGTCGGAATAGCCATATCAGCAAAATCGTGCAGCCGATACACTCTAAGTCCATTTTCAACGAGGAACATATAGGGGAACAATATCAGAAGAATTAAGGGGGTGGACGTCTCTGAACACTACGAGTTGTGTACGCTTCAACCCACGAGTTTACGACAATTACAACACTTCAGGTTCTTAAACGGCAGGTCTTCGCGAAAACAGCCAATTCTTCTTTCTGGGCTTCATGTAAATGAAACACACGTTACAGAAAAGCGTGGCAATAATATCCATACACCTCATAGGGATACGCAGCAGGCGAAAGATCTACGCTCCGATCCTGCAGGTATCTCCTATTCCATCTCTGTTTTTCGCTGACTATCTCCGGAGGACCAGGGTACGACGGCGAACGTAACGCACGAGGAAGAGATGCACTTCATGTCAAAAGCAACGACTGAATAGAGTACGACATTGGACAAAGCACGTCAGCTCACAGATACCAAAGGAGACATAACGAGAATGGGATATTTGAAACGCACCGGCACATCTTTTGTGGTGGTTGAATAGGCCGCCATTATGTTCTAGCTCTCAAAAACAGGCACCAGTCTATAATGCAACTGAATGCTAGCGACGAACACTGATCCGCCATCAGTCCCAGGAAAACAGACCGAAATATCGGAGCTTAGGGTGCGCTCAAATCTGGGTCGCTTTTATAAAAGCTCAGTCCGAAGAACTTACATAATCGACTACATACCCCGTGGCATGAGCCACATTTTCCAGCCACGCTACATCAAAAATGAACACGAAATTCATCACAGGCCCGATGCTTTGGTAGTACCTTAGGGCTGCCAAGCCAGGACCATGCCACAGCTTTCCCGCTCCGAAACATGCAGGAGGAAGCAGACCCACTCCTTTCCGTGCGTCCCGCCTTGCCAAGGTTTCCGACGAGTTTCCGAGGTCGCTTCGGTGCTTCCTTGTGTCCACCGCGTTTCGGAATGTCCGCCGACGTCCACATTCTTGTGCTGATGCCCCCCCCCCCCCCGTAACCTCGAAGTGTCCACCGTGTTTCAGAGGTGCCGTCAGCGTCCACCGTGTCTCTGAGGTGTCCGCCGGCGGGTGCCACACTCCTGGTGCCCGCCGTCTGTCGGAGGTGTCAGTCGCTTTCCCGCGGTGGCCGCCGGTCTCCTTCCGCAGGTGCCGCCCGCGCTCCTGACGCCCCTCCTCGTGGCCGCGTGGCCGCCGTCGCCTCGGCAGTGCGTGGCCGGCCGCTGCAGTCGCTGCATTCGGCGCGGCCGTCATGGCCGGACGGCACTGGCTGGTGTTATTGACCGGCGCGGTGCGGCACCTGTGGCGCGGCCGGCCGCCGGGCCGCCTCGTAAACCCCGGCTGGACGGCCGGGTGGCGCTCCGACGGGCCCCGACCGGCGGCGAGAGGGGACGGCGCCGGGGAGACAGGCGATACCGGAGGCGAGGAGACGGAGAGACGAGCGGTGAGAGGGGATGGAGCCGGGGAGACGGGCGATACCGGAGGCGGGGAGACGGAGAGACGGGCGGCGAGAGGGGACGGCGCCGGGGAGACGGGCGATACCGGGCAGGCGGGGAGACAGAGAGACGGGTGGCGAGAGATGAGGCGCCACTGGGGGGACGGACGACACCGGAGGTGGGGAGACAGCCGACACCGGAGAGGCGGGGAGACGGGTGATGAGAGTAGCGACGGCACCGAGAAGACGGCACGCCGGTCAAAGACGAATGGGGTAGAGATGGTACCGCGGGCATGAAGGCCGGGGGGGGGGCGGGGCGGGGAGGGGGCAGTGAGCGGTAGTGGCCAACAAGCTGGCAAACACGAATGCCGTGGGTGGCAGCAATGCGACCGCGCTCGCTCGACGACCCGAGGATTCCCCGCCGCCGAAGTCGCACATCATCCCTGTCTTCCGGGGGGGGGGGGGGGGGGGGTAATCGAACGTGCCCCGAACCCGAGCGGCACCGCTCCCTCGGGCGAGCTGAGCTCATCGAGCGCCGCTCGGCCGGCCGGCCCGCCGAGAGCCCGCCGCCGGCCCGGCCCGCTCGCGAGGCTCGGCCGGGTGCCCCAGCCCAGCCCGGCGGCGGCTATCCACTCCGGCGCTGCTCGTCCTTCGGCACGTTCGGCGCCGTCACGCGGCCCCGCCCGAACACTTTACAACTTCACGGCGGAAAATGCGGCAGGAAATCTACGCCGTGTTTTGGATACACCGGCCGTCCGGCTGGGCAAAGCAGGCCTGGCATTTGGAGTCATTAGATGAAACTTCTGCACACAACAAACTTGCCCACCCCGCGATGAGCAGAAGGTAGGCGTTTCTTGGGCGGACCAGATCAGCAAAGCGAACAAACATGCTCACCGCAGCGCCAGGTGAGACCCGCCGGTCTCTGGCCCGCGGTCCCCGGCTGCAGCGAGTGCAGCGGGAAGGGGCTGACTTGACCTCACCGCAGCGTGCGAAGCGACTTGGGCGGTGGGTGGCGCCTCGGTGACCGGCGCTGACCTGACGTACCGTGCGAGGTGACCTGGATGGCGGGCAGCGCCTCGGTGCGGTCCGTCGTCCACGTGTCGTCGTCCGACTCCTGGTTCAGCGACGGGCAGGACGAGCTGAGCCGCGTGTAGCGGCGGTGCACCACCTGTCGGCAGGGCGTCGCTCAGCCGGCGCGGGGGAACGCACGGCCACGACCGGTGCCGTCCGGTCGGAGGGCAGGGCAGAGCAGGGCAGCTGCCGACGCCGGGCGGTCGGCACGCCGAGACACATAGCGAGCGGAGGGGGCACGAGCGCATCAGTGGGCCGGCAGTGGAGGGGGAGGAGAAATCTGACCGATCAGCGGCCGTCGGGGAGACCATCATGCAGGGCGAGCCGATGCAGCAGTCGAGCAGGCAGTGGTCAGACGCCAGGACACGGGAGCACCGCGGCGGCCATCCGCCAGGCGGAGCGCCGGTCACAGGCCGCTCGCTGGCGCCCGGCGCTCCGGCGCCACACGCCTCCGGGCTTCGGCAGCGCTATCCGACGCCTGCTCGCGCGAGCACGGCCCAGCGGCGCATCATCAAGCGAGCGGGTCAGCAGAGCGCGGACGCGGCGGTCTGGGGCCGCCGGTGTCAGGCCGACACTGTCGCCGCCGGTGCCAGGCCGAGCCCGACGCGCCGCAACGCGCTGAAGCAGCGGCGCAACGTGGCGGTTCAAGTGGCAACGAAACGTCCCGGGCAGCCGGCTTAAGATCGTGGGCGGGGTGGACCGTCTCGGCAAAGGCCGCTCACACCGCGCCCGCCGTCCGCGCACGCCGGCGGCCCACCGAGCGGCCAGACGGCCCTCAGTGCGGCGCCCGGTCCTTCCGTCGGCGGCCGTCTGCCGCCTGCCCCGGGGCGGCCGCCAAGCGATCGACTGATCTGATCTGTATTAGCCAACGCTGCCATGATTACGCGATGAGGCTGGGCGGCCGGCGGGCGCGCCGACTTATTCCGCCATCCGCCTAATTCTTCCGCGCGCCTTTCGGCCAAGCGCTTTACGAAGGCCTCCCGCGCGCACGGAAATACCTTCCGCGCGGAAACAGCGGGCCCCTGCGCGCGCGGAAATACATCGCGCGCGGAATTAGCTTATTGGCGGTCTGGCTCTATAGCTTCCTCGCCACTGGGGCAGCGGCGCCTGTCAGCTGACGTCCTCCGACGCCCTTGAGCTAACGGTCTGCGGAAAACCGCACACGACCAGGCAGGGGGCTGGTCAAGGGGCCAGAGACGAGCCAGACGCACAGCTCTGCAGTCCTGGCCTATCAAGCACGGCCGTCTGGCCAGGCCGGGCCTGTCCAGCTTGCCACCAGCAGCCATCCATCGCAGCTTCGCCCAGTCGGTGCTCTTGAGCCCCAGGGAGCCCAGGCACGGCGGCGGCCCGCAAGCCAGTTAACGACGAGTTGCGACATTGTGGCGCGTGCCCCGCACATCAAACGCGCATGCAAAATGAAAGGGGTGACAACACGACATGCTTCCTACGACGCAGATGTAAGTGCCAAGTGTCACGTGCAGCCAGACTTATGCACAATTTGGTACCTAACTTATCACGACTTCTCCCAACTTACCAGCTAATTATTCTGACTTAACTAAGTTATGACCGTCTGTCTGGCCTCTGACGGTAACCATATCACTGCACGCTGCTACGTATTGTCAAAATTGAAATGCTATACGACAACGGTTGTTCAGTTAAGCGCGCGTAAGGGGATCATTTCGACAAAACTCCCTCCAAGCTCTAAGTCCGATTTCCGCGAAATTCCACGATGCGCGACACATCCAAAGGTAATGACATCTCTAACCACTCGAGTTTGAACCCCACGCCTCACCGGAGAACCATGAGGCCACCAGCACAACGTGTCTGCGAGCGCGACCACAAAGCACGAACGGGCAGGTTCGATCAAAGCACGAACAGCGTCACAAGCTACAGTGAGCTCTAGCACAAGCCTGGGGACACTCCGACTAGCACGGGAACACGACATCCGCCGCCATGCTGCTTCGGGCGCGCGACGAGCCGGCCCGAGCTGCCTCGAGCTTGACACGTCTTCCGAGTGCGCCAACGGCAAGCCTTTCAGCGGTCAGGGTATTAACGGCGAGCGCGTCTAAGCCGAGCTTGTCACAGCCAGCTGGCAGTCGGCGGCCAGCCAGCCAGAGACGCGCGAGCCAGCGGTGACAGTCAGCTGCGCACGAAGGCCGACTGGGCGGCGTCCAGCGCCTCCGCCAGCGGCGGCGAGCTCGGCACCGCCCGGGCCACATCACAGACAGGCGCGCCATGCGTGCGGCGGGCAGCCATGCCGGGCGGGCTGGCGCGCGCGCGCCGCCCCACCGTACCAGCGAGTCGCCCGTGTCGCGCACCGCCGTCGTCGCCACCGACTTCCAGACGAGCACGTGGCAGAGCAGCTTCACCCGCTTCCAGGGACTGCGGCGCAGGCCGTTGGCGGGCGGCGGCGGGCCGCGCGGGCTCTCGGCCGGCTCCTTGGCGCGAGGGCTGAAGAGCAGCGCCGGCGGCCGGGCAGCCGGACTCTGAAGCGTCACGTCCGGTGGCGGCGCCCGCTCCTGCATGGCGCCCGCTGCTGGCCGCGTCCGACGGCGCACCGCGGCGGTCGACGCGTCCCGGCGGCGGCCGGCGACTCCGGGCGACGACGGCTGACTCTGAGCGGCGACGGCTGACTCCGGGCGTCTGCGTGGGCGGCGGCGGCGGCGGGCTCTGGCCGGTGGCCGATGACTGTGCGCGGTGGCGGGCGGCGCTCGGCGGGGTCCGGCGCCGCGGCCGGCTTCAGGGGCGGCTGCCGGTGACGGCGCCGGCGCCTACAGCGGCCGCCTGGCGCGACGGGTCGGCCAGCGGCCGGGCGACATGTTGGACGCGGCTGCAACATAGGCCGTCCAGTGGCACAGAGCCTGTGCTCGCCGCACACGCAGCCCTGAGTGCACACCTCACCAACACAGTCCTCCGTCTGTCGACACTGGTGCTGATACATCTCAAAAACAGAGGGTACGTGTTTAGCGAGCGGGCGGAGGAAGAAGGGACCTCGCTTTGTCAGCGGCGGCAGCAACAGCAGTCTTTCCAGCTTAAACAGGGTGGCTTAAACCGGTCGCAGTGTCCAGTCAGCGCCGCCGCCGCCGCCGGTCAGCTCAGCTCCCGACGCGACCCAACAGCGAGTACACGACAGCTCAGCAGACTCCAACCCCGATTACGGCCGTTGGTGGACACTGTTGCTCCAGCCACGGAACGGAAAGCCTGCTTCTGAAACGTTCCTTTGAAAAGATCGCTGACGAGTATCTGAGAGCCCATGTTGATCGTTCTTACACAATTATTCTGCTATGGCTGTGCAGTTCCAAAAAGCCCTGTGGAAATGAAACACCTTCCGCTGGGTCTGCTGTCGACACCAATCGGATGTTCGCAACTGGTCCAGGTGTTTCAGCTGGACAAATGCCCGACACACGGGACTTACGTATATTCGTTTTTGAGCCCGACCACGACAGGTACAGTTCGAAAACGATAGAAGCTGTCGTCGGACGAAATTGCGAAAATCCATTTATCCGTGCCTTCGAGGCCGGATCAACAGAAAAGCACTTGGTCCAAGGACAGTAAGTTGGAAACAAGCTAGGAGCCACCGTTCGGAGATTCGATCACCAGACGCGTGCGCCGGCTGACCTGACGGCACTGCCAATGGCCGGCGTCTATCGAACAGCTTCTTCAATGCATGACACCCGGATCACCAGACGCGTGCACCGGCTGACCTGACGGCACTGCCAATGGCCGGCGCCTATCAAACGGCTTCTTCAATGCACGTTCCCCGCAAGACCATACAGCACTGCTTGCAGAGGTTGCCTTTCCCACCCTTACACATTTTTCGTCGCCATTTGTCTGAAAGGTTTTGTTTTCAACATGTACTGAGCCGGGACTAGCACCAGCACGGCGCATCGACCACGTAATGGCTTACTGTCGACGCCAAAGTTCGGTATTATTATGATGCACTAACCGCCAGCCCATCCGATGCAGACGTAAACACCTTGCAGACGATGATGATCTGTATTTGAGAATGCGTCGGCTGTTCATTCAACAGATTCTGCGCTATCTCATCATACGTACGCTGCGACTTCAATGCCCGGGTGCTCCTTATATCTGAAGCCGGTGCTACTGACCGTCGAAAGAATTGTCCCCTCGTTGCCCAGAAGAACACAACTCACTGTGAGTGCTTGACATCAGGCCACACCTACGAGATATGACGGGATATATGATACGCAGAAGACAACCTGTGTGGGGCGTCTGCTGCGCTGCTCAATGTGAAGGTGCGTACTCAACTTGTGACCAATACGTAGGTGAGCCAGTATGACATCTCCTTTTCGTGCTCTACGAAGCGACGACGACCAAAGACCTAGCCGTGGTTTGACGCTTCCCAGCCTGTTCCGGTTATTTCCCCGACTCCGCCTCGTCAGCCACTCCGTTATGACCCGGTGTTTGACTGACACGTAGAGGGCGCTGGCAGGGAAGGGCATGTAGTCGTCAGGTGGCAGCCGTTCACAGCCAGGTCATCCGACTCGTTTCCCGGCCAGACTAACCTGGCTGGAAATCCAGACCGCCACCTGGCGTCCCCTCTGCCAGGGGCGGCGTCACCGGGAGCGGGGGACGGGGGGATGTGTCCCCCCCGTCGTAGGCTAGCAGGGACAAACCCCTATCCCAGCGACCTTCCGACAGGGAAAAGAAATCGTCTTGCATACATTCTTACAACTGGTCCTGATCCCCAGTTTTCACCGTGATGAAGTTCCCTCGCGTCGGCAGAATTACCGGGCAACAAATACTAGCGCGACGCTACTAGGGCATATCCAAAAACCAGCCCGCGGTATTCCCCTTCACTGTCCGAGCGTATTCAATAGCTTTCGAGCCTAGGGTTTAAAGCTGGATCAGGAGGTGACCGGATCATTACGCGCACGGAAGCCCACGGATATTATATGCGGATATATATATATAAGCCCACGGATATATATATATATATATATATATTTCTGGGAAATGTGAAAACGTGTATTGCCAGCGGGGTACGCACAAACCAGCTTCTGGTAGCACGTGCCGCGCCCCCTCCTTTCCCGTCACTCCTCTTACAGATTTAAGACTAGATCTTAGTTCAAAATT